AAAAAAAATAAGCATTAAAAATTTAAAAATTTAAGTGTAAGTAAACTGTAAACTAGTTGATCAATAATGAATAAAGAAAAATAAATGTTGCAGGTTCGGAATTTAGAAATCAGTTGAAGAAGAAGAAGAAGAAGAAGAAGGTGGAGGAGGAGGAGGAAAGGAAGACCTGTTCATGGGCCGGGTAGCCCAATGGCACGGCCCGGCCTAAGTCTGAGCCCAACATGATACTATATATTAAATAATAAAAATATATATTTTATTTAATAAAATATATATATATATATATACAATATTTTTTCCTTTGTTCTTCTTCTCTTTTTTTTCAAGTAATAGTGAGATGTTTATTATTTTTGAGTTTTGAAGGTTTTTAATATAAATAAAATACTCTTTTATTGAATAAAAAAGAAAAAAATATGTTTTCAATTTTTTGGTTTTATATGAGGGTCAAGCTTAGGCTCAAGACCTAGGCCCGATGGTCAGACCAGGCTCAAGCCTGAATGTATTTTATTGATACATAAACAAAGTCCTGCCTAGCCCCAGCCCATGAACAAGTTTAAGAGGAACCGGCCAGTAGAGTTGGAGAGGAGGGGCGCAATGAACAAAGTCCACCGGCAAGAAGAAGAAGAAGAAGAAGAAGAAGAGTAATGGAGGCACTGGGCATTGGTGGTGATCAAGTTAGGTGGTATTAAGTTAGGTTTTACCATTTTGAACAATCATAGATCGATGGTTTTGAGGTTTTCAAAATTGGGATTCGATTGGATTTAGACCTAAAGGCCTATTTGGCCCAATTTAACATTTTTTGTCTTTTTGTACTAAATCTGAAAATGAAAAAAAACAAGCAAGTTATACAAAACCAGGACTTAGTTGAACCAATTGGGTGACCGTTTATTCTCGGTTCTTTTGACATACCGATTTTGGGGGTATATTTGGACTGGCCAGGGCCAGGTCATGGTTCAACTGGTTCAATCGACTAGTCCGGTCTGGTTTTTCAAAACATTGGTTAATACACCTAATGATGGTTTTTTTGGCGGCTCCTTGTTGGAAGGTGGCTCGGATGCCGAGTTGGCTAGTTCGTCAAGTTGACCTGTAAAGAAACAGTGTCAGAGTGCTCGAGTTGTTTTACCTAGGGTGGGCACTTTGATGCTTAAGTTAGCGAATCTGAGATTTTTTAAGAGAGCTAAATGTGAGAGAGCTGCGAGAGCTAAATTGCGCATCTTTTTTCTCTACCTTGTCAGGTTGGAGGTGAGGCCTTTATATAGGTGTTTCTTGGCATGGGCTTCACGCATCGTGTCCGAGATCTCAAGGAGGTTGTGCCCAACCGGTCCAAAGTCCACGGAGGTAGCTATACACATAGACCAATCTCCGCGCTTTGCTCGGTCTCCTCCACAACATTCGGTACGAGGGCCGACTTCTAAGAGACCCGGTAGTGACGAGTTGTGCATGCAGAATTGGTCGGCGAGCACGTCTCGCAAGTCGCCACCTAGACCTCAATCAAGTCGGCAAGCCCTCGAGGGAGGTCTCTCCTCGCGTCGATGTCACTTTGGCTTGTGACGAGGTACTACATGTCGGCCTTGGACGAGGTGCTGCTAGCCGGCCTAAGTTGTGGTCTAGGTCGCCAGGTCGGTGGTGAAGTTGGATCACGATCTGGAATTCCATCACTTTGGCTATGGCAAGTCATTGCCTAGGTGATGTCTGGGTGTCGTCCAGTTGTTTCGAGATGCCATCTGTCATGATGTCATTAGATGGTCAAATCTGCCCTCATCAACACCTTTTTTTTTTCTTTACGCATATAATAACAGTAGTAGATGATTCAAATAGTTTATGAGATGATGGAACCTACTTGGTTGGGAAAATTGAGAAAACTTTGTCCGTTGGGAGCCAAAACAGCCTAAGCTGTTGACTAACTTCTTCTGCATGACATGTCAATCCATCCAGTCCTATCCAAAGAATATTGAATGCAATTACTCTTTTACCCTACGCTCATGGTAACATATTAAGCGAAAAAAGCTCCTAAACCGTGCAGGCTGTGGGACCCCAACAGCCAAAGTTTGTTTGGAAAAACTGGTTATTGGAGTATAAATAGCCCAAAAACTTTGATAATGACTTCTTTCTTTCTTTCTTCTTTTTATATACTGTTTCATGGGACTAAACAACAGAGCAAATGTGGGAATCGATCCCGTTTCTGTTGCACTACAACCAGCCAAAGACCTTACCAATAGAGCTAGCCAATTGCAGTGTTTAATTAGATTTCCACTTGTTCTTGGTAATCTTGATAAAATACACCTTTGTTGATAAGTGTGATTAGAATTAAAATATTAAAACCCGGATTGTCCTTAAATTAAAATAAAATCAAACCATAGATTAGTGACCTCAATGGGGTAAATTTTCAACACAATGTGGGAATCTGATGTGTGAATTAGGGGAATGAATGGCTAACCAGTGAGAGGTTCCACCATTAAATCAGCTGCAAGGCAGTAAAACAAACTAAAAGCAAGTAATGCAGGGAATCTCCTTATTATTTGCATATATATTAGAAAACACTTTTCCTAATAGAGATCTCTTGTGCCTTTTCAGTTAATACATTAAAGTAAATAAATATACTTTATTATTCCCATAAGTCTTATACTAATGCGTAGCTTATGACATGACCATACTCTATTAGTAATTAAAACATTGAAACGGCACATTCCATGCCCATAAAGGATAACTAGAGCAGTTGTCATCCATTTGGAATTGTATAACTATATATTATATATCTAGAGGTGTAAATGCAATTTGGGCAAATTCTTCAAATCGTAGAGGAACGATTTGGCAAATACCACATACAAGGTTTTACACTGAAGATACTTATACTTTCACTATTCCCAAATTGAGCCTTAATTTAGAAAAATATATAAATACCAATGTTTTTGAATTCTTGTTGATCTAGACGGTCGGACTGTTTGAACCGAAAACCGTTTAGGTGACTGATTCCGTTTTACCTCAAATTCGGCATTTGGTCAAAAACCGTTGAATTAGTCAATGAACTGTTGACCCGGATGGTTTGACTGATAAACCGTTCGACCCAGAGAACGGTTTGCTACTCAGATCTTAGATCTGAGAAATCTCATATCTTAAAAATCTCAGAGATTGAGAAATCTCATATATAAGACTGAAAAATCTCAAATCTGTCTTTCTTGCACGAGAAGGTGAGAGAGAAGGAGAGAGTGAGATCTGAGACTGAGAACGCCATCGCTGTAGTTTGCCGTCACCGCTGCAAGCCTACAAGTCCTCCCCCTCCTCCTCCTCTTCTTCTTCTTCTTCTTCTAAACTCTTTCAGTTCAGCCGATAGTTTTCTTTCAAGTTTCAACCCTTATTTTCTCTTATATAGTATGCATCTTACCCTAGTATTCTAATCTAATGGGTAAGATGCTCAAACCGTTCGAACCATTTGACCCGAACGGTTGAACCGCTGACCCGAAAATCGATGGCCAGAACAGTTCTATTTTTAGGTCTGTTTTTAAAACCTTGATAAAATCAAATATATACAATATACAAGGTTTTGCAATTTATACTCTCTTTTTTTATACTGACCTACAATATTATTTTTTAGGTGGTCGGCTAAAATAAGCCAAGCAGTTTTGGGATATTTCTGGTTTCAATGATTAGTCGACTGGTTGAACCGTGTCTAAACCGAAAAGGGATCTGCTCCTCACACATGGGCGCCTCACAGACACATCCATCGTGCATTGGGAACATCTTCCATGAATGATAATTTATAAGTACGGGGGTAGGATGTGCGTGTACGGTGTGAGGCGCCCTGTGTGAAGAACAGATCCGGTCTCACCTGGTTGTCGAAACTCGAACGGTTTCGTTTTTTGTTTTTTCCCTTCTCTCCCTTCTGTTTTCCAGGAGAATCGCCCCGGGTCAACGATTCCGTTTAATGTCTGACCAAAGCCAAGGGTCCATCACCATCTCCGTCCAGCATGCGTTTGGACTTCAGATCAGCTATCAATACACAGTACCAAAAACGTCCCAACCACTATTACACCCGTACATCGGAAATATCTTCAATGAATGACAAAGAGATATTCTCAATGTGGGACTGCAGTGTTCTATTGGGATAGGAATAGTAATGCTCCCTTGGAGATCGAATCAGCCCCCACAACGTCCCACGTCATTCCTCGTATTATCATCAAGATATATTCCCAATACACGGCGGTGATATACTGTGAGATATTGTGGGGGCAGATTTGAACTCCTTCCTTTGCAGCAGATTCCTACTCGTCCTGCTTATCCCGAGCCTTGACTGTTCAGTCAGGTCTGCTACAGAAAAGGGAAAAAGAGAAAAAAGCGAAGAGGATTTTATTTGAATATAAAAAGAAAAAGCCAGCGCGACGCGGACTACCAAGTACCAGGGCATAGTTTTCCTTTAAAAGCACTGCTGGGCCCACCTTTGTCTGAAGCGTGCTCCCGAGGCAGCTCAGCTGCAATGATGCTTGATAGAAATACCTGACGATAGGACACGTGGCACGTATCAAACTCGTGAAACTAACTTTACCAAGTAGTTTGGTCAACAGATCCGACGGTAGGCAGCATTCCCTGCTTGATCTCTTTCAAAGGACGCGTCCCCAAATTCTTTGCTTCCAAGCCACGTGTTCTCAAATTCCACGTATCTGTAACGGCCATCAGCAGACTTTACAGCGGCACTCAAACACGTGGACTTGGGTTGTGGACCAACCGACCATTCCACAGGCCCACCTTACACTAAAACTGGTATGAACGGGCCAGATGAAGTTAAGAAGACAAAGGATACCTTCATGTGGGTCCCAGGGATCCACGCTGTAGGCATCATCAATTATTTGCCGTTGGATTAATGATGGAAGAGTTCGGAAGTTCGTAAGTAGTATGATATCGTGACACGTTGAAAACACCTTAAAATTATCCTCGGCGAGAGGGAAAGGGAAGGAGAGGGTTTCGTCATGTCTGTTGTTGATATAAAAGGACGGCACTCGTGTTCGTTACCTGCGTTATCTAGAGGTCCTGAAATCCTCTGAGAGACGGAAAAAACTCATCTACACTATCGCTCTGGAAACCCTAACTCCATATCCTAGGGCTCCATTTTCGCTCGGAAACCCCCTAGCCTTTCAGAACCCTATTCTGTAGCTAGTAATCTGTAAATCACGGCCTCTGAATCTCTAGCTCTCTTTACCGGCTTTGATAGCTCCGGGGGGAACTCTAATTTTCTCTGGGTTTCTTTTGATTCATTTGTTTCGAAACCCTAATTTCTTCATCAGAACTCTGGTATTTTTTTTTTTTGGCGACATCGAATGTGGTGAGGTTACAAGGTTACCGAGTCCTTTTTAGGTGTTTTTTGCCCCAGTCTGTTGAGCCCTATTTATCTTCGGGAAGTAATTCATTCAATTGGAAGAGGAGATCTACAGATATTTTTCTATAATTATATAATATAAAAAATTGTTTCCCTTTTCTGTTTTTTTTTTTTTTTGCACATACCATCGCTTTCTAGATACTAGTTTTGTTTTCTTTTCTTTTTCCACCAAAACTTAATTTTCTGTAGGAAAATCTAATTGGTTTAGACGTTTCTCTGTAACCCTAGTCTTGAATCCTTAATTTGCAAGGCTAGAGATTTGTTATCTTAGTTTAAATCTGGCAATTAGAACTACTGCTTCTAGTCTTCGGAGGCCTTTGCTCGAATACACAATAACACAACTGTGGCTTGTTTGAGATCGGGCTAGAAATGGTTGGAGGTGGAAGCAGGAGGGACGATGGGCCCTTGGGGATAAGCAATACGAACGTTTTCGCTGCTCTCGAAAGCCTTAGAAGAAAGAAGAAATCTGACAAGGAGCATGGGTCGTCGAAGAGCAAGGGATCTTCCAAAAACCAGGCCAAGGAACCTGAACCCCAGGTTTACTGGACGCCGGCACCTCTGACGGTGAAATCCTGGGCCGATGTTGATGATGATGACGATTACTATGCAACAACAGCTCCGCCTAGTGCTTGGGGTTCAACAGAACCACAACAAAGTAAGGATAGTTCAGCTCCCGTTGAGGTGTGTAGTTCGACCAACTCTTTACCTTTCTGTTTCCTTCCAGAGATATGCATTTTGGGCGATGTTTAATTCAGTTTTACTGTTGTGATGGATTTGTTATGGGGGTATGTTATTGATTCATTTTCTATTGAAACAGTCACTCTTTGATCTCAAAAACGTGTCAAGATTTTTCTTCAGACTTATCTCCAAATTCTTGTCTGTTTACAATATGCAATGCCAATATCTGATTTGGATATGTATATTTTAATGCAAGTAATTATCCCGTATCTATGTGGTGGTTTTGCATGCTGTTAAGGTGACCATGAACTTGTCTACGTAAAAGACGTTTGCATTGTAACAACTCGTTAATGAACGAGAAGAAACGGACGTTTACTTGTTTATTCTTCTATAAATGTTGTTCCTAGAAATGATTTTGATATCCAATACTGATTGGAAATCAATATTGATATTTCTGATATGGATGGAAAAAGTTGATGTATGTGAGCATTATATCTCCGAAGAAGGCTGTTTTCTTGTTTGCATTACGTCAGTTGTAAGTGCTGGACGAACCCACTTCTAATGAATACGTATCTTTAACGCATTTCACCATTTCCTACTCTGATCTGATATGCATAGTGTGATTTAAGTGTATCAAAATACCAAGACTAAACGACAAGAGACTGAATGTGTTTATTTAGGGCAAACTAATGTTGTATTTACAAGGATATGGGAGTCAGAATCCAACGCTTGTCCAAGAGTCTGGCTTGGCAAGATGAGAAAACATAGACTCACGAAAATAGTTCATATATGATATATCATCAAAGTAGTTCACTTCTTTTCTAATCAAGCAGAAGAAAATTGTTCTTTTTTTCTGAATTCTAACATTGTATGCCTGCAAAAAATGTTGGCTTTGTTACTAAGCAACATTTGATATAAAAATTATAGTAACCTTGAACATTAGCTGTTCATTTATGTCAAATAAAAATGGGATGTTACGTTGAAGTGTCACTGAGAAAGGATTATTGGACTCTGATGCATGTCTGTCATGGGTATGCCATCTATTTAGGAAAATCCATGCAACAATGGTGCAATCATGCATATTTATTTTTTCCTACATTTGTGGGATGATATTTGTGTCCCTGTGCTTATTTGGCATGTGATCCTAGTAAATGCAGTCTTCATGCAACACATATACATAATAGTTGTTTTACTGTTCAATGAGGTTAATGAATCATAAATGAGGGGAACTATTGATAAAAAATAAATGAGGGGAACTATTGATAAAAAATAAATGAGGGGAACTAATAAGTATTGCAAGTTGTCTAATTTATTAAGGGTAAAATCCGTAATTATACTTTGTTAATCATAAAAAAGTTCAAAATTATACTGAAAATATTCCCAACCGCAATGCAAAAGTAGAACAATCATAAGCTCACAAGTTACCTACTGTTATGGAGTTCTACATGGAGATTAACCTCTTTTATTTGCATTACTAAATTCCTTGAAGGTAGATGACACTGACACTAGGTAGTACTAGTTTTTCCTACCACTTAGAATCTATTATGTCTTCAAATGTCACCAATTTTGTTTTATTCATTTCCTGTATTTTAGCACAAAACTATGTAAAAAGCTGCTGTATATCTTTATTTGGTGCCAAAACACTCTTAGACACCTATATAACAAAATAAAATAGTGAACTATTTAACAGCTTTCTACAATTGGTTAGCTCTCATCAAGGTGAATGGTTTTTCACCCTTTCTAATGGATATCAATCCAAGCAGTCTATGATGTGCATTTCACTTTGATGACATTAGAGTAATAAATTTTAGAAGCTGAATTCTCTTGCAAGTTGCAAGTATTTACTGTACCGAATAGCTTTTTATAACTAGAATTTTTACCAGTTAATTAAAAAATGTTAGTTTGGTGACATTTTATTCTTCCAATGGATCCTGATACATTAGGTGAAGTTGTTTGGCCAAAATTTCAGAAACTCATCCCAAACTTTTGGTGTTTCACACAAAACTTAGTTTATCTGAATTTTCAGTTCTATAGGATCCATACAGAGTTGTGTTCTAAGAGATATTTATATTGTCTCTTATTTGGCTGTGAATATCAGAGAGCCCTTGTGTGCCAGGCTCCTGATTACCTTAAACTTGTAGTCCTACGTGGTTTGTTGTGTATTTTCCTGCTGTTTGTGAGCGAGTTGATCAATTACTCAATGACAAGTACGGAAAAATTCATAATTAGTTCATTGATAAATCATTGTAATAATTTGAAATAGGAAAGTAATAGTGGGTTAAGGGTGTGTTAGGAAAATTATAACTGCATAGTACCACTTTCATTCATCAAATTGAATAATTGATGCACACATGAATAAATAATAGAAACCTAATTTATCTATCTTAATTGGTTTCTTAGCAATAAATAAATAAACAAATAAACAAATAAATAATAGTTTTGAATTTTTGTTGCATGAACACAAAGCTAGACATGGCTTTAATAGTTCATTCCGTAGAGCAATGGTAACCATCTAAAATATTGTTCATTGTTTGGTGTCAACTTGTTGTGGTACCCAATTCAAACGAGACATTAGTCCAATTTTCCAAATGGATTACCATTGTCAGCTCATCCAATATGGATTCAAAATTATAGTTTCTGTTTCATCAAATTTGTACATCATTTAAGCAGTTAATTTTGATGGTTAGTCTTCATATTTAAAGTTTTTTTTTTCCATGGTCTCCTAGATGATTGTTTCCCTTTTTGTGGATTCAGCTTCATACATTGGCATTCTTGAGCCTGGATGAAATCAGTTCCCTAGGGTTAGGCTTTGGTTCATATTTGAGTCATTGTAATTGTTGCATGCTTTGGTTTGATTGCTATTACTTAAAAATGCTATATATGAACACAAAATTTAAGGTACAATTTTATTTTGCTATTTAATTATGTCATGGAATGGGTAATAGTCGATGTAGGATTCTATAATTGGTCTGTTCATCTTAGTTGCATTTGGATCTCTCATGATTGGCATTGCATTAGTCGATATACACCATTAGATGTAGGTACTAGATCATATATTAATTGTAAATTTCTCATACAGCTTTTTGCAATAATGCCATACTGTTAGAAGACCTGTAAATTTTGGAGGCAAGTTGAAAGGGTGTCTTTATGATATTACAGGAAAGTGAAAGTGAGGAAGATGGTATTGATTTAGGTGATGATGATGTTGAAGAAGAACATGAGGAAGAACATGACCATGAGCCTGAGGTCTCGGTGCAAGCTGAGACGGTGGTGAAGAAGCCTTCTCAAGCTTCTGTGGCACCTAAGGAGGCAGAGAGGCAGCTATCAAAGAAGGAGCTGAAGAAAAAAGGGCTTGAAGAACTTGATGCCCTTTTGGCTGAGCTGGGTATACCCAAGAAAGATACACCGGGCCCAGAGGAATCACGTGGTAATCTTTTTTAGCCTATTATTACATAGCCTACATATGGATATTCTTTTTTGGCTCGGTGCAGTGCTATATCAAAGCGTTTGAATAGTTAGTTGAGAGCATGACTGGACCACTAACTAGTCAATCAATAGGTCGTGTGGGTTAATTAAGCAGCAACTAGGGTAAATAGTCAACCTAGTCAATCAATAGGTCGTATGGGTTAATTAAGCAGCAACTAGTGTAAATAATCAACCTAGTCAACCCCAAAATTATTATAAAGATTACCTTTTCTTATGTATATTCCTAATTAATTAAAATAATATTGTTTATGCTATTATCTTTTTATATGATCTAAGTATTTGTAATGTTGTATGGTTTTCTGATGGTGTATAAAAAAGAAGGTATAAAATTATAGAAGACAACCGAGGAGTTCTATTAATTCTCAGTCAATAGTGTGGTGGTATGTAGTTGCCACAAATAAGGGGCTAATCAAATTGTCAAGGTTGTGCTCGTTCTTTGGAAAACAAAGGCCATATCTCTCTATCATCTAGCCTTCCTTTTTTATGTTTGGTAGATAAAAATAATTTAGATTAAATGTTTTATATCATTTTTATTGGATCTTTGCATTCTATATTAACTTGTTTATGATATTACATCTACATCTTAAATTTAGAATGTATTGTTTTTGTGTTTGATTAGTCCTAGGTATTTAGTAGTCATGACATTGAATAGATAGAGAGGCCAGAGTCATAGACAAACCATATCGATAGCACTGTTTCAGTGTTTATTTGCTATTATGATGATGACACATTCTTAATTGATTACTTAATATAAGATGGCTGTATCATAATCTGCGACATTATTTATTAGATCCAGATATATAAAGCAACATTCTTTATTGGTCTATATAAATCAACATTATTTATTAGATCCACATACGCACTCTTAATTTAGTAGCCCCTCTCTTTCTCTCAAACACATATTCAAGAACGTTTCTGCAGTGAATGCAAATGCATACCATCTTTGCTTCCATATTAGTGAATGTATCTTGGGTTTTTTAACTGCAAAGTTTCTCCCGTGGTCTTTGTGTTGTTGGTTTGTCTCTTCAAGATCATAGGGAAAATAATGCTTGCAAGGTGAATCGTATGTGGTCATGTTGCAAAATCGGTGATAATTCTGTGATTGAAATTCCACTTGTTGATATGACGTGAAAATGTTAGTTTTCAGTGTCTTGTGATATGGCTTCTGGATGCAGTAAAAGTTCATTTTGACAAACAAAAAGATTTTTCCCTGCTGCTAGTACTTGCTGGTGTCACACGAGACAGATTCATTTAAGACTTTCTATTGATAGTTTTATATTCACTATGCTATGTGCTGTCTCAGTGAAAGTAAGTGCCCTCATACTTTGCACGGTTACTTGTTCGAATTGGTTCTCCTCTACTCGTGTACCTGTGTAAAAGGTCGCTGAAGTGATAATTGTATGTTGTGTTCTGGTACATGCTAGCGGACATTTCATGTGGTTATCTTTCTTCTTGTACTGGCAGGTGCTGCACAAGATAAGAAGGAAGAGGAGCTCAATGGATATTCAGAGAAAAAGGAGAATGCCACCGGGGAGAGCAAAAGTGCAAAGAAGAAGAAGAAGAAGGACAAATCTTCAAAGGAAGCTAAAGAATCACAGGATCAACTTAATGGCTCAGACAATGCACCAGATGAAACTGCTGGCACTGAACAGGCAGAGCAGACAAGTTCCATTGATGTGAAGGAACGGATAAAGAAGGTTGCATCTATGAAAAAGAAAAAGTCAAGTAAAGAGATGGATGCTGCTGCCAAAGCTGCTGCCGTTGAGGCTGCTGCTAGGAGTGCAAGACTTGCTGCAGCAAAGAAGAAAGAGAAGAACCACTACAATCAACAGCCGGTGCGGTAAGGACCCTCTCTCCCTGCCCCCGCTCCCTGGATATGATCGTGTTCATGTATTCCCCCGTTCCATTTGTTGAAGCAAAATAAACAGCAGTCTCTGGTGTTGGGGAATAATCTTTGATATGGTACAGCTCTGGTTTTTCCTGGAAGAATCCATTTTGACATTATAGGTTGTCTCAACGCCCAAAATGTCTTGTGACATTATTATTCCAGACAATTTTTCTTATGCAAAATTTCTTCTTGCATGTTGTTAGTTGATGAACTTGATAGCTCACTGCGCTGTTCATTTGGTGCCTTGGTGGTTGTGGTTCCGGTTCACTTAAGATGTTGACGAGTATCAGTTGGTGTCATGAATGGATGGATGGATGGATCTACATGGGATTATGAAATCCAGCCACAAATGTGTAGCTTGTCTAAGTGTTTGCTGGCGTTATGATGCAAAGTTGTAGAGAATCAGGTGAAAGAAATAGCCCCCTTGGGGAACACCTTCATTGTTGTAACTTGTAACGCGTCTTATTGTCTTGTTCTTTTTCTACTTTGGTTCGTTCCAAGGGACAAAACAACGTGGGGTTGCACATCCCCCCGAAACCAACTGAACCAGAGTTTGCAACTCTCGGTATCATGTATCCTGTTTGTACGAAGTCTATGCCCCCCCTCCCCTCCCTGTAGCCTGTTGCCTTCCCGGCTCTGGGACCTTACCTTGGGGTGGTGGCTTCGTAAGGAGCACATTTGCACCTCGTGGTGTCCACACTAACGTTGTGGAAAACCCTGGAAGTCATTTTCAAACCCTCTTGGTTGGATCATGGATGTATGAAGAAGCGTGCCCATTGCATCGCTTATTCCTACTGGCATCATTTGCATCAGCTTTCTCATCTGATGGTCAGGTGTCATTTTAGACAAACAAATACGAACCTGCCATTTCCAGATATGAACACATGGCAATATAATGTATGTAATTTACGTTACAAGCGTCCTGGAAAGTCTTGTGCACCATGCCATGCAGCCAACATTGGTAAGTCATTTCAGCCTGGGGTGGAATTTCTGGTTTATTCTAAAGGCCTTCGATACAATGGCATGCAATACTTGGCTTGGTGTGTGTTGCATTGTCTTCTTTCAATTGCGTGGTTGGTTCCAAGCATGGGTGCTAAGATGATAGGCGAGCAAGTTGGATATTTATTACAACAATCAATCTCCCTTATATGTTGAAGGGTGGGACGCTATGTTGCCATCATATTGTCATCCCAGCGGCATTGGCCGGTGTAATGGTTTGACGTTTATAAAAGAACAAAGGAAAAACTGAAAAGATGACTTGGACCCAAGTAGTGAGATAGCCAGATAGGAATATAGGATAAATCACTATTCTATTCTAGTAATAAATACGCGCTGAATGGTATAGTGGTCGTCTGTCGTCAATTATTACAAGGGAAAATCCCCGATTAGTATACCTTGTGCTTTATAGGCCCAGTGCCACTTTTTTTGTCCCTTCTGAACTTTGAAATCCGACAATTCAGTAATCATTATTAACCAGCCTGTTAAGTGGCACTTGAAAAGACAAATGCTTTTTCAGTGTCATTTAATTTTTTTTTATCAATCATTAAAACGTTGATAAAAAATAAACAGTTCTAAATCCTTGCCTCTTCTGTTTAAGTTGGGTCAGTTTGGAAGAAGTGCAAATACAAATATGTAGAGTGCAAAATCTTGTATTTTGTATTTGTTTTGTATATATTTGTATTTGTACTCTTTCCAAACTCAAATGTACACTACAAATATATACAGTATAAATGTATACTAAATAATACAAAGTACAAGGTTTTGCGCTCTGAATATTTGTATTTGTACTCCTTCCAAAATAAGCCTAATTCAGTATTTCATCAACTTTTTTATAGTTATGATTTGCACTTCCATTTGATCACTCTGCATCTCCGACCCACAAATTTATCCCACATCACTACTCACAAAACACTACTTCCATGTATTGGGGACATCTCTCCATGAATGACAACGGAGATATTCTAATACACATATGTAGTGCCTTGTGGGTAGGAGATCATATGTCCCTATGAATGCATGCATGAAGTGTTGTCTTGTGAGTACGAGATCTGGAGTGTATCTTTGTTCCTGCTAATTTTCACCAACTCAAACGAAATTTACACTGCAAACAAACTGAGCCTCAAGGGAAATGGAAAAAATATCAAAATGATCTGGAAGGATTGTTGTTACATTTATCCCTATTTGGGTGCCAAAATGAAATGTTTCAAAACGTCTTCATCTCTCTGTCCAGGACGAGCTTGAAATGAAACTATTCTTGCTACCATTCGAACTGAAAAACTTAAACTTTGAAACAAGATGAGACGAAATATATTCCATCCATCTACAATGGCCAATGGATTTTAGAAATAAACCAAGGATTCAAACCATGGTCTTTTAAAATAGTGGAGTTGCAGCCAATCCACTGCAGAATTCTGAAATTACAGCCCCCATAGTTTACTAGTAGCTCCCCTATAAACCGCATCCTGCCTGTGGATTTGGCATCAATCCACGGTCAGGATTCATCCCACCTGTACAGTGGGGCAAAGAATTCTGTGGTGGGCTGAACTGTCATTCTCCCAAAAAAGAAGGTGATGCACAAAAAAAAAAAAAAAAAAAAACTCAGAACAAGAAGCTCAGTGCTTCAAACAAATGTCACCAAGGGGGTGTTCGGATCTGTTCACGTAGGGATGCAAATGGATTGAATCGGATTCAAACCACTATATATTCGAATCCAATCCGACAATGTTCGTGTCAGATTAGATCAGATTCGAAGATCCGACTTGTTTTCTTTAAAATTTAATAAATTATTGAAAGAAAAATAAAATATATTAATTTAAATAAAGTAAAAGAAAAAAATACAAGTATTTTTTAATTATTTTTACCATATACATACATGTTTTTTATAAAGCATAATTAATATAACAAATTTATAAAAATATAATATAAAAAATATATTTATAAATAAATAACATATATAAGTATTATATATATATTTATATTTATAAATATATAATATATTGGATCAGATAGGGGGATCCGCATCCGGTTTAATTTCTGTTTGGATCCCATTATCCAATTCGATCCAAAATTCCAAACAGGATGATCTGAATTTAACCAAATACGACTAAAATGATCTGATCCATTTGGATCCCTAATCTGCTGACCACAATACATTGTTAGCCACGTTCACCCCACCACACATCTGGAACATCATTTGTAGTTTACATCATCCATATTCCTGATATATGCACGGCTGGATGTGCGTGGCCAGCAATGTATTTGTGGTCAGCCATCAAGGGTCCCAGCTACCAAAGACAAAGAGTAGACACGGATGGTGTCGTTTTGTTGCCCGGATGCAGTAGGTCATGTGCCCTCTGCATGGAACCTTTCAAGAGTTAACAATTTAACATGATGATGCAAGAGTTCCAAAAAGGAAAAAGTCTACACCGAAACCTTGTGCCGTGTTTGGTTTGATAGAAAATAAAAGATAATCAAAGAAATTCGTGTTTGAGAAGAAAGAAGTTTTCAACTGACACTGTTAAAATGCTTAAGTTCAAGTGTTGTAATTGTGATCGCTAATGTATGATTTTTTTTTTTTCAAAAAAAAAAATGCTATATCAGCAGTATTCTAAACGTGAACTAAGATCAATCTTGAATTAATAAAGTAAACTAAAGAAAGAAGAGAAGACTAAGAGAGCAGAATAGAAAGAATGGCGAGGAGAAAAATCTTAACCTTTCCTAACAGCTAGCCGACCTTAATTAAATATGTGACAATATTTTTTCACTAAGAAGTAAGAAGCCACTTCAAAAGAGAGAGAAAGAATTCAAAAAGAGAGAATAGAAAGAGAAACTTATAATGATAGAAATTAGCGTAGATTCATCCAATCCACGAACTTTGTTAAGCAAAATGAAATAACAAAAACTAATAATATTTCTAATTGAGCTTTACTCCCAACAAGAGTAACTAATCAAAGCACCTTGCGAATTTTGATGAATACCATTGGATTGGTCACTTTTTTATGATACGGGTTGATTAGGGTTGCAAGTCGGGCCGGGTTAAGACGGGTTGAAGCCAATCCTAGCCCAATCCTAAGTTCTAAATCCCCAACCCTAATCCTAACCCAATCCGATCTACCCAACTTTAACCCTAACCCTAACTAAATTCCTTCAATCCCAATACAACCCAAAGTCAATTTCGGGTTGGGCCCAACCCAACCTTCTTCCCATCCCTTATAATCTTGTAAAACTTCTTAGTCTCATATCTTAACTCAACTTTCACTATATATATTAATCCTATGTTTTATTAGTATTTGTTTGTTGATGTTTTTATTGGTTCTTTAAGTATAAAATTCAGAAAAAAAAAGTGTTTGAAATGACTATAGTTTATTATGAGTTATGACTTATAATAGATTTTTTATGGGTAGCAAGCTATGGGTGGTAAAACAACAAAGAGGAGATAAAGAATAAAATATTCAAAAACATAAAATATGTTATTAAGGTTTTAGTATTTCTAATTAGTACTAAGTGAAGTGATTATCTTAAAAAAAAATAAATGATAGTATGTGGCGGGGGCTATACAATATCATGCATATAAACAAATCAATATATGTTATATCATATATATAATATATTTATATATGATATGTACTATAGAATCGGGTTCGAGTTGCCCAATGGGTTAACCCTAACTCAATCCGAAGTAAAATTATATTCATAAATTTCAACTCTAACCTCAACCCGAGCATCAACCCGACCCAAGTTGTATGCTTAGGGTTGATTGGCTACAAGTTTTTCTGATATATGTCTTTTTGGTATTATAGGCAAACCTAACACTTCTAACACCCAACTAAGGGGTGTTTCTTAAATTGCCCGTAGGTATGATTTTGTTCTTTTGAAACAAAAACAACTGTCATGAGCTGCCATATTCCCCTATTTAGGGATATATAGAAAATTAACATTTATCAAAATAAAAAGAATACTTACAACCACCTTGTATATCGTCCAAAATGTACAGATTTATTTTATTCTAAGAAGAGTCGATTCCTTTCAAATCAATAATAACCAAATGAGACTCTGATTCAAGGAGAGCATTTTACATTGATTAATTCAGTTAGTAAAGAAAGAAATATGCTCCTAGCTACATCTAATCCAATTCCCCGTTGGCAAACAGACTGAAATTCCCTTTGCCACTGGACTCCACCAAACAAATGAAATCAATTGATTCAGTTTGATCTAAGCATATAACACACAGAGGATCGATCAGTATGCAACTCCTTGACCCTCCATAAGAAGATTAGAAGAGAATTGAAAACAATTGAGGCAAAAAGTTTAGTACTCCTGCTCTGCTATTGGAATAAAATTTCTTTAATAGTCAACATCTCCCATCTGGATCCAGTCCAGGCCAGAATTATCACAGTGGCTTTCTTCACATTTAATTTACACGGATTCATTTTATAATAAAGTCAACACT